CAAATCCGCTTATTGATATTGTGGCAGATAGACAAGTTCTTCCATGTGGCGATTAATTCAACTGTCTGTATGGACTCAAAGGTGATAGGAACTAGATACCTGGATAGACCTGAGCTAGATAGGTAGAGGCTTAAGTTTTGGAGCAATGGATACTAAAAACTGGAAATAACAAAGGCAGTTGAGGAGAAAGCTATATTCTGGGGTAACATGAAAGTGATATTTGGAGAGGAATCCATGGTCAAATTTTATGTTGCTGCTTTTGAACAGGTGAGAGTTGGGGCAATTTCGGGTAGCCACAAAGAGGGGGTCATGCTAGTGGCAGGAGACGAAGAAAAGGAGTTGAATTGTACTGTTCAATCATTAGTTACCCATTTCTCTTCCATCAGTCCAAATCAACTCATTATACTTTCCCTTTTTAGTGATGTCAACACCCTTGCACCATCTGCCACACATTCAGTCATGTGTAAGGTGCTTCCAGTACTCAAGTGAAAGCCTTGATATATTAATGTGCCAGTAGTTGCGAAAAAGAAGCTTAAGATATTGAAATCACTAATTATAATCTCTGAACCAAGTACACAGGTCGTAATCTGCTGTCAGGTAAGACCAATCTCTAAAATGTTTGTCTACATTAACCCAATTCTTTTAATGCACCTACGAGTGGAAACAACAAACAAAGATGACAGTTGATTCCGTGATCCAAAAAAGGTTTGGTTTGTGCTCGCTTGGCATTGAAAGCATCTCACCTATAAAAATGCTTTTGCATCCAACGAAATATTACCATAATATCTACAGTAACCTAGTTCATTTAGCTAAAAGCATCTTCTGCGTAATCGCGCTGTCTGCGGGTTCCAAAAACGAAAGCCAAGAAGCCTTCTTAAAAATAAGTCAAAGCTACAATTTTCAGCTGTTTCATTATTGTAAATGACGGGAATTAAAGGGGCGTAAAACTGTGGCAGAAGTCATGATGAGGGCCATAAGATCAAATGAATTACTTTGAAGTGGTAGCAAATACCTGTCAAACTAACTAAAATACACACCACAAAAAACGAGCATAAGGGAATGTTGTCCTTTGGGTGAAGTCCATTGGATTATTTTAAAGGAGCGTACACATGGACTCCCCTGGATTATATGTGTGATCAGAAGACACGGCTACCCAACTAAGTCCTCCTAAGTCCAAGTCGAATTCGGCGGCTATATCTGATGTCGAGGCTAAGTATGAGTCCGAATCCGGGTGTGGGTCAATGAGCGTCTGGTTGATCTGTTGTGACTTTCAACTTTCTAATGTTTATTGGTACACTGGTAGATGCTCATCTCCAATCCATGCTAGCCGGTCAAGAAGAAAAAGGTAATACCATCAGCAGGATACCGATTTACCACATTAACTTGCGCAGAAACATGAATATCAATTTTTATCGTAAGCTAGCGATTTCATACCATCTTTGACCACACAACGTCAGGAATTATGTATGTATGTTATCCAGTACTTTAGTTTGCCATAACTTCACAAAAGCCTCAGAGTATCAATATACAGGACGACAAGTCTGCTTATGCCGCCACCCCTCCCCAAACCCCTTTCTGTCTTCACCTGAGGAATTTGGTCCTTTTGACCATTTTCTTGCTTGATTAGAACAAGTGAATAACAACCTTGTGTGCGATGCAGTATGGAGGGAATCGCGGTGGATGTTGAGCGAAAGAAACCACTTCCACACTGGTGCTCCGTGAGAAAAATCGGACAAGGCGCGCCTACGAATCATGACTTTAGTCCCATCCACTATCTAAATAATGTACACTCACTCCCACGTAACAGTTCCTACGCGAATGCCTCTCATTCACTGGTTACTTTCTCTATTTCCCCATTTTTATCACTTTTTAGACATCTCGGCCACATTCTCTCCCTTTTCTTCATCATCTTTGCACTCCTGCACTCACTTGATCAACTAGCTGTTAACATTACAGCTTGCTCCTACTTCTC